CGGGAGGCGTAAGGAAGTGATTTCTAGAAATGGAGGCTACCTCTAGGCGAAACTGAGTTGGTGCTTCGGAGTTCAGTGTGCTGCTGACGTGGTTATTGGGCTCTGGTTTGTAGAGGAGCTTGCTCGTCTGGATGCATGAGTTGTAACTGCTGGTGGTATTTCAAACATGCCATACCTTGAAATGCTTTTCAGACGAAGGGTACATCGTCATTTGGTAAGCGGCGAAATAAGACTCACACCTTGTGTCGCCGATGTGGGTCCAAGGCGTACCATCTGCAGAAATCTACCTGTGGAAAATGTGGTTATCCTGCTAAGCGCAAGAGAAAGTGTAAGTAGCACGCTTTTGACTGACTTTAGTTTAAAAACTTGTGCTTATTTGTCTTTTTCAGTAGTGTGACTTTCTTCTGACCAAAGAGGTATACTGTGTCATCCTGCAGTGTTTGAGGTTTATTAAACTAATGCTGATTTACCTACATTTTAGCTAATATGCAGTATTATTGCATAGAAGTTGACTCTTTTTTTCTGACAAATAATGATAATTATGCTATACAAATGTAATGTGCAACTTAATTATTTGGTGCAAATGAGTAACATTAACTTGTATGTTTTAGATAACTGGAGTGCGAAGGCTAAAAGACGCAACACCACTGGTACTGGTCGCATGAGGCACCTGAAAAAGGTCTACCGTCGGTTCAGGTATAATGTTTTGTTACAGCATGGCATGGTGTGAAATCCTGCATAGGTACCACTTAATGATAAAATTCATCAATCAACGTTAACGTTTTTATTTATTTAGTACACTTGATGTCATATGGTCTTTGTCTTTAATGTATCATGAAATAAATGATGCTTTATATAATCGGCTGCATATATGTTTGAGGATAAAAAATTTGCTCCCTGTTAAGGCATACAGAGTATAACAAGCTCTGATGTTTCTATTAAGTGTAGATAGTGCAGAACACAGAGGCTATTGTATTTAAATGCCCACATTTTAAGATACGTTTTGTGTAGTGTCGCCTCTATTTGTGAGATAGTATGCCAGTTGCATTGAAGTGTGGGAGTTTCCTAAGGCACAAGTCAGAAATGCATTCCAGTTCTCTTTTGCCCACAAAATAAAGTTCAGGACTGAAAAAACTTGAGTAGTTACTCTCTTATTTCAAGTTAGCAGGAAGTAACTAGAGCATTAGACTCTGATTTACAGGTTTCTGAAATTTGTTACAAAGCTTTGAGTTGTCCTTTTGAGGTAATGGTAGATACTGTACTATTAAACTCACTGAGAAATTATTTTATATGACCTCCATTTTCTAAAACGGAGTCCTAGCTTCTAGCCTAATACATTAGAAAGCTGGGTGAAAAATACCAATTTAAGAGTCTTGTTGTAAAAATGTAGATTGGCTTTAGTAGCAAAAAGTAGGAGTCCTCTAAGTCCTAGACCTGGGTGTAGTTAAGAGATCTGTTCTGGTCAGCCCAGACTTTCCCAATAGCAGCCAGAAAACACCTTGCAGTGTGCAGCTGTAGCCTGCGTTCCACTGGGCATTGGTGAAGTAGAAATGTCATCTCCAAAAGAGAGCTTGGGACTGAGTCGTCTTTTTGTCATGTCTGTCCTAATCTCTGGTTGCAGCCATAGAGGATTACTGTAAGAAGGTGGCTTGCACTTCACAAACATGAAATCTTTTGATGAGTTGCTTAGTAGGAACATGAGGTAAGGTATGCTTTCAGCAGTTGTGCTGTATCTCATGCAGTCTTGCAGTATTCGCTGAGTAACTGAAATCTTGTGATTTGAAGAAGCCAGATTTACTTCAGCAGAAGGGAGTGAAAACAATATTGCTTATTCCAAACACTTGTTAATAAGGTGTTTCTTAGTGAAAACAAACATAGGAATTCTGCAGTGATTGCAGTGCATCCCTGAAAAAAGCTGGTAAACTTGATATAAACCACTGCTTCTAAGAAAATAACTTTGAGCTGGAATTATCCTTTCAAAATGTAGTAACCATATTTCTGCTTGTAGGAATGGATTCCGTGAGGGAACCACCCCGAAGCCCAAGAGAGCAGCTGTTGCAGCCTCCAGTTCCTCATAAAGACTCATCTGTTTGTTAAAATAAATGGTCTTATACAGAAAATCTGTCACCTTTTATGTTCTATTTTAGTGAAATGTAGGATTCCTGAAAATACATATATTTACACACGTTTCTTGATGGTATGCATTGAAGTGATTTATTAAAAACAATCTTTTCACTTCTGTCTTGAAAAGGACCATTATCTCTGTGCTGAAATTAAAAAGAGACTTGAGAGCTCACCTGCGAGAGAAAACAGAGTATTGGCACTATGGAGTTGCCCTGATTGCCCCAAAGTTTCATTGTGCTCTAGTATGGAGAGTCAGAATTTTACCTTGAAGAGGGTAACTTGAATAATGACTCTGCCTGCTGTTGTAGGAGGCAGTAGTTAACAAGACAGGTCCAGTCTTGGCTTTTTTTCACAGGGTGGGACTGAAAAGTCTGCAACAATAGTGCTTATTCAGTGGGTCATTGAGTCTTTGACAGAAGGAAATTCCCAAGCCTGGAGCACACATACTGCCCAACACAAAGGGGTTGGAGATCTGCTTGTAGTTGGGACAGAAGGTGCCAAGATGATCTGGGGAGGTCAGTGAGACAAGCTGATGCACAAAGTGATTATGTTAAATATGCTGGGTGTAAACAGTAAATGGTAGGTAGCATGATCCAGAAGCAAGTCCCCTGGGGGACTTGTGGACTGGTGCCTCAGGAAATTTTCAGCCAGGTGTGAAATTGGAGTGCACCTGGCAGCACTTTCTTGCATTTTTAAATTAAGTACAGTTAATGTTTTTGGATACTTCATCTACTTGGGCTGTTTCTAAACACAGATCTTTTTCTTGCTGCTCTGGTAACATGCAGCATGTACTACACGCTCTGCGTTCAACTGGTCCTGAGACAGTGGAACTGGTGGTGAAGCTGTTAAAATACACTTTGCATGTAGTACACATCCATATACATGCATCTGAAATGCAGGTTTTGGTGATACACAGGGGAACACATAAGTGTAGGAGGCAGTAACGGTGTCTTTGTTACTTTGAGTAACAGCAAAGTTGCACTCAGTTTTAAGTGCTTCAAAGCATCTTAGACAGGTCAGCAAGGCTCCAAAGGCTTGTTGGGCAGTGCTACGGGAGATACTCTGACTGTGGGTGGGAGTGAAAGCCTTTGTTTTGCAGTCTTGCATGATCTTCCTGTAATGTGGGTGTTTTGTTCTAAGCAATGTGTTACACTGACTCACACGGTACAATACTGCAAGAGCCAGTGCTTTACTGTTTGCTGCTGCTACTTACTAGCTCTTCAGCATGAATCACGCTGAAAAACAAGCATTTGTGTAAGATAGCAGGGTAACAGTGATGAACAGTTGAGAACTTAAACTGTTTCAGGGGGAATTTAGGAGGAATTGATCTTATAGACAACAAATTTTACAGCCGCTGCACTTTGAACTGTTCTAAAATTCTTGGTGAGGGGCAGAAAATCAGTTAACTTGAGTTTGTGTTAGACCTGTTCAGAAAAGCTCAGGTAGCTCATCTGTTAGCCATAGTTGAACTAACAGCTTTACTGAATATAGATTCTAGAGCACCTCAGTTCTTTGAAGTGTTTTCTTAAATGTTGAAAGCTGGACTGCCTTGTTGGTTTTTCAGTATATGAATAATCTTTTGTTGAGATCTTGTTACAATCAACTTTAGGCTTACTAGTTACCAACTTAAACTTCGTGATACCTCAAACCTACGTGGACCACCATCCTCATAATTGTTTGGTTCCACTTGCAGAGCCTTTCCCTGTTGTACCAGGGCACCTGTGAAGATGAGGTCACAGGGGAGATGTGCCTACTGTGCTGAGCAGGAACCATTGCCCCTTACTGCTTAAGTCACTGTGTTCTGCTGGATGGAGAGAGAATATCCATATCATGTCCTGTTTCCCTGACAGACCTGAACTGAGGGCTCCTGGTGGGTTTCCTGGCTCCTTGGAGTTCCCCTGGTTCAGGAGACGCACACCCCCTCCAGTACACTGTGCTAGAGCACTCCAGTGCCGATGGTGCCAACACTGGAACAGGTTGTCTCAACAACCAAGTGCCAGTTTTGGTTATACCATGTTTAAATCTCCTGCCACTGCTACTGGCTCTGCCCAGTGTGTTGACACTTTTGATATAAAGGATATCAGGAACTGAGGAGCTGAATTTTCTTTCTTGAAGAAATCAAACACTAGGGAAATGTAAATGTATTGATATTAGACAAAAAGGTTTTTGGCAAGGTACTACCTTTTGCTTTGGTGTTCAGACAACAAAATACCACTAGATGGAAGTGTCTCAGTGGGGACGGAAAGAATGGGAAAGACAGGCAGAAGAGAGAGGGGGCAAGAAAAAGAGGAAAAGTGAGGGAGGAAGAATGGGAAGGAGGGAAGGACCAAAGGAGAGAAGGCAGGAAGGAAGTAAGAGAGGGAGGACAGGGCGGAAAAAGGAGCCTGTGTGCTGGGTTTGGGAGTCTTGCAGAGTGCTCAGCTTGCTCCCCATGGACAAGAGCTGCTCCCTCTCCTGGGGTATGGGTGGCCTTTGGTGACTGCTGCCTCCAAACATGGTTTGTAGCACAATCTGGAAATAGCAGCTGTAATTCACACATGAATCCACTCTCTCTAATGCATATTGGTACATCTGTAATTAGAAATTCAAGAGAAATTGCCCCACGGGAAATTAAAAGAAACATTTGTCTAAGGCTGGATGGAGGTTGGAAGAACTGTAGGCTGTTATGGAAAAGGAAAGGGAATATGAAGAATACAGTATATTAACAACCAGGAGGTGCTGTGACCTGTGAAATACTCTGCCTCATATAAAACTGGCCTTTAATCCTACTTATACAAACCCAGAATGACTGCAGCTCTCAGTGTCACTGCTTGCCTTAAACTGATGTAAGATGGTCAGCTGCCCATTGGTTCTGCATGTCCCTTTCACTTACAGTCAGAGATATGTAAGACATTAAAGGCCTGACTTAGTACCACACTAATCTTGCTTTTCTCTACAACCACCACTCCCAAATCTGAAAATTCACAAGGCAGAAAATAAGGGTTATTTCCTCACTTTTGCAAATACCTGGGCCAAGCCCTTGGTGGGTTTCATGTCAAGTGGAATTATACAGCAAAAAGAACTTCCACCCTTTTGCAAATTCCACTTTAAAAAAAATCTGCTGCATTTCAAAATACAATCCTCATATTTGAAAAGAACTGGAAAATAATGTTTTCAGTAAAAGCATGTATGTGCCAGTCAAAATACTGCAATTTAATTTCTGTTATAAACTGTTATTACTTACAACACACTGTAACAGAATACATGACAAGCTGTCTGAAATGAATATACTGAATGAAGTTTTATTTTGCCAGAATTTCCTTTGTTAAAACATATTCCTACAGAATGCTACATTTACACATAAGAATAATGAAAAAAGAAGCCTCCCCTTAGTTACACTGTAAAACCTCAATAGCTGAAAGTGAGTCTGTATGCAGACAAAAGTCCTACATCCACTGCAGTCCACAGAACATTAAAACACTTGTTGGTTTCCTGAAGTCTGTAACACACTGTAGGTTTGAGCCTGGGATACCTATTTCTTTTCTGTAACATTTTCTCATGACCTCATGAGCATAGAGGACTGCTATGAAATAGGATTGCTTCTGAGCACTTGGCTGTAAGCATTGGTCTTACTGACACACTTGCTTGGATGAGAGTGTGAAAGAAGTATATTGAATGCAGAGAGCTAAAGAAATAGGATGAATGGTACATGTCTGCAAGTGTAAATCAGTACAACTAGTGAATGCCAAGACGGACACAGTAACACCTTCAGTTCATCTTTGTAGGACTAAAATTTATTACTAAAAATCCTGACACTAGTGCAAATTAGACAGAGATATTGAAGTTGTGAAAGCCACACCAGCAATTTTTCATATAGGTGGGGAGGACTGATTCAGAGCTGTGAGTGTTAATAAACACATTGGTAACACACCTTGTTAACTACTGCATAATGAAAAACAATGCCCACATGTGGCCAGAGCCAGCTTCTGCTCTAGGAGGTATTCAGAAATGCTGAAATTAGGATTCTTTCTATAATGTGAGAATTCCAACAGCCTGAAACTGCAGCAGGAACTATTATTTCTTCCTGTAATTTCCATTTACTGAAAAAAACAAACACTGAATTGTAGTACTGAGGAGATTCTTGCTTGGTGAATACAAACTACTACTTGATACTCTCACTCACTCGGAATGTTTATATAGAGAAGGCCCAGAAAAGTTTTGCTGTACTAAAATAACCATAATGATAAAACCCTCCATCCTTGTGATACCTAACATACATGTGCATACAGCTATAGCCTAAATTCCTAATAAGCTTAGACTAAAAGTACTTCTAAAGTCATAATGAAAAACCCAGGAGTTTGTGGCTAGCCTGCTACTTGGGCCATCTGGAAGTGCCTCCTCTTCAGGCCCTGATCCTTCAAGGGGATCTATGCTTTTCATGGCACACAGAGCAATCCACTTCCACGGAACTCCTAGGAACATCAGCAGACAAAACCAGGGATTATCTGGATCACTAAATCTCATCTCCTGCAAGTGCAACAATTGTGAAAGGAGCATTTATTTCAGAAGGGCTCGAAGAACATCCTCTAGCCGCTACAGAGGGTACCTGCAGAACTCAATAGCAAATGAATGGCCTGTCATGAAATACAAGCTCCCAAGTCTGAGTTATCTTCCCCCAGACAGTGGTGAACAAGAAAAACCCTAGGAGACCTGAAACAAAGGTCAGTGATAGAAGACTAAGTGGAAACAAGGGAATTCTGAAAGACTTGGAGCCATCACACCTCCAAAACTCACCCACTCGTACAACTGTTTGCCACTGTGCTGGAAATATCAGACCCTTCACAGCTCTTCACACTTATTTGCTCCTCCATTCTTTCTTTGAAGGGAATTTTGTAGCTGTCCTTAGAATTGTTTTATAATGAAATCAAGGAAACTCTGCAGAAGGTGCTGTTCCTTGTCTCAAACTCCCACAGTAGTAGAGGCAATGCAGAGAGAAGCCCTCCTCCTCAAGGTGCACCAG